AAAATGAGGTACTGTGGTCTCTCTATTGTAACTCTTTAAGCAAGTATGTCTAGAAAATAATATAATCTTTCTCCCATTACAAGAACAACACATTTCATAGCTATTTCTGCAATTTTGTTGTATTATTTAGACTGATTTGTATCGCAATTTTGCATGAAATGTATGATCATCATCTTTATTTTTCAGCCATCCTTGTCCAGATCCAGTGGGATGCATGGCCTAAATATATCTGCTCTAGTCCCTACATGGGGTTTAGTAGCTACCGTAACCACATGCATTATTTACATTGGTGCACCTGGTAGATATCAAGCCCCCGGTACTATGCTCACTGTGTCAGTTTACCTGTTTCTCTAACTGTTAAATACATTTACTTGCAGCAGAATGCCAGTATGTTGGTGTTGTACAGCGATAATGTGTGTGCCGCTTACTTCAAAGACTTGTGCAAATGGCTGGTAATCATAAAACCAGAGTTCTTCCTCATCCTGAATTCACAATGTCACTCTCCCAGGTTTGCTTGAAAGGCAATTGGATATGGCGAGATCACGCAAGGATCATAGGAACGTGCGAGCTACCAAGGAAGAAACAAATTACCAAACATTTACCGTGTGACACATTTCTAGCGTTTCACAGTAAACATCGTCAGTTAAAAGGGGTGATGTGTCTCATATCTTATAATGGGATTTGATTGGCCTAAGGGGGAAAAATGTCAGATATTTAGCTTATTTATCTCTGACCACCAGAAGAGATCACGAGAGTGTTTGGTTCTCGTGAAAACAGGTGCTTAAATTCATTATGTTAAGTATTCTTGGCCAATAATCTAGCACACATATGAAGACAAGGTAAAAAAAAAACGTTTTGAGATTCCACCAGACATCTTCTGACTGTATAAACGTCTCTTGCTGACGAACTGGAGTTACAAACAAATGGTGCGACTCTGAGACGTGGTAATATCTCTATTGTGAACCTAAGTAACCAATCTGAACACTGATCACCTCAGCAGAGAAATACATAATATGGTAAGCAGCCCCAAATAACTCAACTTTGGGAAGACTATAAATATTCCATCCTACTTCCCCTCAGTATTATATACGCCTCTTCAAGAGATAATTGATGAACATCAAAGCACTTTTTGCTGACAGAAGGGTTTGCTCCTCTCTGAAAACAGGAACCACGGCACAGACACTACCGTTTTCTATAAGCAACTTTGACAAGGCTTTGAACAAATAAATCTACCTCTTGCTTAAAGACAACAAAATGTAGACAACATGAAGCAATTTTAAACTACAGCAAACAACGTAGGACGCTGCCACCTGCTTAAAAAAAGGTTTTGGGTACTGTCAATCAATTTGCTGTACCATATCATTGTCTCAAAGTGCTTAGTTTCTGTTTCTGGTAGCTGCCTAAACACTTGAATGATCTCCATTCAAAGGAACTAACAAACATTGAGTAATGTCAGTTTCCTGTAATAACTTGTGTGGTTTCTTTGCTGTAATCAGGAAGCAGACAGTGCCTAAATGACTCAAAAGACTGGGGCAGACACGACACTCGTCTCACTGTTTAATCATTTACGAATTTAGGAGATTCTTTAGAAATTCCCCATCAGGAAGCTTTCACGCTTTTTTCCCAGAATAGCAAAGCGACACTGACAGCAGAAACAACAACAGGACAGACATGTCTTAATCCCCTGAGACACATGTATGAAGTTATTCACAGATAACTCAAAGCTATTCATTGTATTTGCTTTAAAAAAGAAGCGTCTGGGTTAACTTTTCTAAAGCGACCAATCAAAACAGAGTCTCCGAGCTGCTTCTTCCCAAACAGATCAAACAGCCGAGCCATCACAGTAATGTCAGATCATAGCAAGCGAGGGTTTCCACAAAAGCAAGTGCAGATTTGTCATTCAATATGGGAAAGTACAGCTGAGTGCCAGGAGATACGAGCTGAGGCTGATGGGTTTATCCACTCCACCAGTCTTCGGCAGGCCACCAAACAGTTTTCCTTTGATAACAGCTATAAAATAGTGCAGGAAATAAGATCTGTGGCTATCACACGTTTAGAATACTTGCACGTTTTGTTCAGCAGGATCATCTCAACATACTAGCAACATTTTAAACGTTGAAGCTTTGATGCAATCCCAAGAAATAAAAAGCTAGCGTTAGGCTATAACATTACGGTCACACGACTTCACGCCAACACCGCTAAGCTAAAGGCGGCTAATGTTTGGCGTGATGATAGATAGAAGTCTCATTTAGTCAATTTTCCCGATTTAAGACACACAGAAAATGTGGACATTCTCAGTGTAGTATTTACGAGACAAGGGAAGGGCTAAAATGCTAACTTGTTTCCAGGTTGACGACTCATTCCTTCACCATTTTAAGTGTGTGCTGCTTTCTTCAAAGAGTTGTGCAAATGGCTGGTTATCATACAACCAAAGTTCAAAATCAATGGATACGAAGGAAGGTGATATCGCAAAGTCGTGTAAGAATTAAAAGACAGTATTCCTTTTTATTCTACAAATAATGACTATAATGAGCCATTGAAAGAGTTATCCAAATTGCCAAGTGCATTTTGGAAACTGTACTGTCAGTGTTAGACAGAGGAAAATTCAAATTTCCTTCCTTTGCAGTTTCTCTGAGCTGCTTTAAAAAAAAAGTTGAGGGCCTGGAGCAGATGGCTGATGCTCTGAGCTAATACACCGGAGAGACAGCCATCAAAGTACAAAATGGTGTACAAAACTCTGGTGTTTGCATGTTTTAACAACACAACATACAGTACAAGGATACTTAATGTTACCCACTTGGTCCCACACCAATCATACCTAGAGACGGAAATAAACCAGCTTAACTCAGCGTATTGGCTATAAAATCAGACTGTGTATAAAAAGTAAAGGTTTCGAAACCAATGCGGTCAAGAGATGAAAAGAACGCCCATCACCTTTACAGCATCAAAACTTTAAGAGTTTAACCACAGCTTCACGCCATGAGCACATACCTGGAAAGCTCGTACATTAAAAGAAAACAAGCTGGCCACAATCACATACAAACACCACAGTGCCAAGCCCTGTAATAAAATGCTGAGCTAACAGCTGATGCCCGAGTGCTGATGATCATGTCACACCCGCGGGTCAATGAGCCGCCTGAACTCTGAAAAACTTCTGACTCAGACTGACGTACGACAGAAGAACATAAAACCAGGCCTTGTTCTAACACTGAATGGTGTATTACATAACGCACAAAGAGGCAATTGAAGAAGTATTTATCGAGATGAACGCTCATAATAGTTTGCTGTGATATAACACAAGCTTGGTTTGGAATGTTGGCAGCGAGGTCAGGATAGACACATGATAAATAATGATGGAAAGGGTGTGACAAAGTCTGTATTTATTTATATACAGAGCTATTTATGTATTTAATCGTTTAGTCATTTGATTTACAAGTACATGTTGTTAGTTAAGCTCATGTAGACGTCTAAAATGTGGTTACAAAGTCAGATTAACAGTGATAAAAGACAAGTATAATACTAACAGTAGACTATTATATTTTACTAAAGTATAAAATATTAAATTACCTGTAAAATATTTAATTTTACTTTCAGTTTTCTATGTTAAATGTATATATGTTCTTATTCCTGCAACTTACTTGCCCCATGATATCTTCCTGTACTTTTTTACGTTTCTCTTTATGACATAAGTTGTATGCATACAGTATTGTATGCTGTTTTTTTTAATCGAGCCTGATACTCAAAATAACTTTGCTGTGCCTATTGTGCATGGGACGATGAGAGCATTTGAATAAGCTTAAAAAATGTTTAAAAACAACAATTCAGATTGTCAATGAACTAATGATTCAAGTGGCATTTATCACATTGACCAGCTAGCCTCATGCAATGTGCCTAACAAAAAGTCAAAACAATGCTCCACAAACACTGTTGCATATGTCCAATAAAAGGTTGCAAACAGTTACAAATCAACCCTGTTAGCAGGACATTAAAACTAAATGCAAGTAGGATTTCTGCAGACAGTTAAACACTCGTGCTGTCTCAGGGTAATGGCTGTGTGCTCTTTTAAGGAAATGAGACAAGTGCCAGACACTAGCAGGGGGTACAAAACCGGCTAACTTAATTACTTTGTTTTAAGAAATAAATATTGTTGTGAGACATGTATAGCTGTGCTGTATAGGGGCATCCCAGTGTATTCATAAAAACAAAGGAATACAGATTACAAATGATTATATATTAGTTCATGTTTCCATCCTATCGTTGATCTGGAGCTAGTTCCCACGTCACTTTACTGTCTAAAACGCTACTTATATGAAGGTACAGTTGTTAGCAAGCTAGCATATAGGATACCTATTGTATCTGTCACGCGGCGATTTAAATTTGATAACACAATAAACAATAAACCACTCCCAATTTATATATTTTCTTCTGTAACGACAGATAGAAAAAAGGGCGTGTTAGTGAGTCTTGTTGTTCTTGTATGTGTTCAAAATGATAATGAATTGAACAGTACATTTCAAATGTATGTTTATGTATACATGTCGTAATTGTACACAGCTTTAGCAATACTGTCATTATGGCTAATAAAGCTATCTGAATTGAATCTGAATGCTATAGCAGTGTATGCTAAGCTAACAAGCTATCGATGTTAGGTGTGTGAAAACTTCCACAACACAGGAAACCAGAGACACGACATGTGCACAGCATTTAAAAAAAGGGCTGCGGGGTGTAATCTAAGGTGATTTTTTGATATTATGTAATTCCTATTTTTGAGTTAGGACCGTACAAGGAGCCTCCGTTTTTCGCAAATGAGCGGAAGTTGAGCTAAAAATAATAAGAGCAGCACCAACGGTTCTGCTGAGGCCTGCCGTTTTTATACACATTTAATCAAGCGCGAATTCACCTGAATATACAATACAAAGACACTGAATGCATGTGGGAATTTCCACCACTAACATCGCACCAGATCGAGGTTATTTTAGTGATTTAAATCGGCTTCTTACCTTCTCCTCGTCGGATAGCTGCTCCTCATGATCCGCCATCTTTTCTTCCGGCACCACCAGCTTGTCAGAGCCTCGTGACGTCATCACATGGGTGGTGGATTCCCAGCCTCAGCGAGTTTGACTGATGCTCCGTCACTGATGGCATGGAGACGTTCTTATTATACATCCATGATGGAGACAGGTAGTGTTTGTTTTTTATAGCTATCATTTTATTTATGGGGAAAGGTCTTATGCATCAGAAGAGATGGACTGACTCCAAACCAAAATTAGCACACTTTTACCTGGAATGACAGCAGTATGGTATCATGCTGTATAAATACAATACAATACAATACATATTTTTTTGTGAAGCACTTTTAAACCCCCAGACCAAAGTGTTGTACAGAGACACAAATACATAAATTACAAAACTGCACACAGCTCAGCTTACAATAAGTACAAATACAGATAAAAGAAGACAAAAATAATAACAGCCATATAGTCAAAGTAATTAATAATAAGCAATAAAAGCATCAATGTACAAAGTTACAGAAGAGGTTTGGCCAATTTGCATATTCAATGTACATCTTGAGTCTTAAGCTCCTCCAAGAATGCAACTACGAAGCTACAAATATTCTTAAAACAAAAATAAAAATAAATAAAATAGTGCCGTTAGTAAAGTCCACTGAGACAAATGTACAATTTGTGATATTGGGCTATATAAATAAAATGTGATTGATTGATTGCAGTTAATGGTGCAATTAAAAAAAAAACATTGTTAAAGTTAAAAGCGTATATCTACAGCATTGGTTAAATATTTTCACCTGTAGTGTCTTTCATTTCTCAATGCTCCTTAACATTAGATGCAATAGACTGGAGTTTTAAAAAAAAGACATCGAAGATCATTCAATGTTTTAAGGTATATGTTTTTTTGTTCATCATTATCACACACATCTGGGGAAGCCCTATGATTATCTGTAATCTTCACATTGTACTGTACTTACCACTAGATGGCGAGCTAGGACAATTTGTTGCTGTAAAAAATAAAATAATTTCCTGCTTGAAAAAGGAATGAGATCAGCTTCTCTGTCTGACTCATTCCCTTTCACACTGCCAGCAGAGAAAACAAGATAACATGTAACTTAATGCTGAAGACAAAGAGACCACAGCCATGCAGAGACAGAGGGGGGGAGACAGAAACAGAAAGAGTCAAATATTATCACAGATGGGGAGATGGTTGTTAGCTTTAGTAGGTTCGGACTATAAGGACTGTGGAGAGGGAAGTCAGGTCCCCCCCTGCCTGAAACACCTCCATTGGACTCCTTCTTCTGTGACATAGTGACATCATATATTGGCTAGCCCTCCAACACATTTTCCGTGATAGGCTAAGGGGCGGGACATCTCTAAGCGGTTGACCAATCACAACACATGGTAACTTGACAGTGCAGTCAAAGTCACAGATCGCTCGCCTGGTACAGACTGCTATGAAGATTATGGGGGTTAAAAAACACCCATCTCTCCAAAACATATACGAGCAGTCGATTATCAGACAGGCAAAAAAAATTGTGTCTGATCCCACCCACATACTCCACCCAGAATTCCAGCTCCTACCTTCTGGTAGAAGATGCAGGGTTCCCAGGAGAAGGCTGAACCGCTATAAGCACTCATTCCTACCTATGTCGATTAAGCTTCTTAACATTCACATGAAATGATATGTAGTCAAATGTAATGAAATGTACTTTTTAAATGTTGGCCATGAGGGTTGTGCAATAGGTCGCCATTGTCAGTATGTGCGTCTGTGTATTGTGTTTGTTCAAACGGTGTATGACTGATGATATGTGTATGTCTCTTAATGTCCACTATGTTTGTATATGTACATGTATGCACTGCAGGACGGAGTCCAGAACAAATTTCCTTACGGGGACAATAAAGTATATCGTATCGTATCGTATCGTATCGTAACAGAGCCGGCCAGCTAACCAATCAGAGCAGACTGGGCTCTGGTTTCAGACAGAGGGTGAAAAGAGGTGCTGCAGCACAGGCAGTATGAGAAAAATAAAGAGCTTTTTGAACATTAAAGCATGGAGACATGTCACGGAGAGACACAAAATATAAATGGAGGGAATTTGGGGATTTTACCCTTTGCACACCATTTACAAGCACACAAACCTATATAACAGGAAAGAAACAAATCCCAAGAAGCATAATAAGGCCTCTTTAAGTTAAAGATCCCAGTACTTATTTAGATTCCAGACACATTCTCAATCCAAAACTTGTCTTGGTGCTTTTTGAACTTTGGTATTCTTAACATACCGTTGTTTGTGAAGCCCAGACTTATTATTGACTCTCCCCCCCCCCCCCCCTCCTTAGTGAGGCCCTATCATCAGCACAAGCCTCTGAATAATTGTGCTGCTTCACATTCAAAACAAAGGGACCTGTAATCTTCCTGAAACTTGAATGTCCTGCGGTAGTGTCGCCATAGTGTCGACACTGGAGCCTCTCATCACCTCTGGGGACCGAAGAGGGCATCAAACAGGGGGCCGCTCTGTGACTCATCCCCAGACACTGGTTAGTCACCTCGGATTCTCATTACACCGCTCCCACATGGACAAAAATCACCCTGCAGACACACAAAGGGATTCAAAAACCACCAGACTCACAGGCCATAAGAGTGCTAAACACCTGAGCTCTGCTAAGTGCCCCGATAAACATGCCTGTTGTCATCTGGCAATATACTTATTTATATAAATTGCAATCAACGCAATAAACCGTATTTAATTTAGTCTTAATGAACATTATTTAATTTCATATTCTGTTCTTGTACATATCATATTCTATTTACATGTATACAGACTTTTTGCACTACTTTTTATTTTGTATTTTTGTATTTTAGTATATATGTTGCATTGTTGGAGGAGCTCAGGTCAGAAGAATTTCATTGCCCTTTCTACACTGTAGCTTTGTGCATATGATGATAGATAGATAGATAGATATATAGATAGATAGATAGATAGATGGATGGATGGATGGATGGATGAATGGATGGATGGATGGATGATGGATGGATGGATGGATGGATGGATGGATGGATGGATGGATGGATGGATGGATGGATGGATAGATAGAGAGAGAGATAGATAGATAGATAGATAGATAGATAGATAGATAGATAGATAGATGGATGGATGGATGGATGGAGAGAGAGAGAGAGAGAGAGCAGAGATCCTAGATAGATAGCTCGATCGATCGCTAGCTCGCTAAGCGCCCTCGCTCGATCATACTCGCCTCTGGCTGGCTGCTCGCTCGCTCGCTCGCCTCGAGCGCGCCGCGCGCGCGCGCGCGCGCGCGCGCGCGCTCGCTCTGCTCGCTCGCTCGCTCGCCTCGCTAGCTAGCTCGCTTAGCTGGCCTGGCTGGCTGGATGGCTGGCCTGGCGCGCGCGCGGCGCGCGGGCTGGCCTGGGCATGGCTGCTGGCTGGGCTGGCTGGCTGGCTGGCTCCGCTCGCTAGCTACGATAGATAGATAGATAGATAGATAGATAGATAGATGGATGGATGGATAGATGGATAGATGGATGGATGGATAGATACATGTGGAAATACACATTTCCAGTGACAAATATAATGCAAGATATTATTGGGCAAGAAAGGATTACTCAATATTAAATAGAATATGAATGTAAAATGTACAGTGGCATGACAATAAAACCTTTGAATGATGAAGCGGTACATTTGAAAAACAACTTTTGGGTATCTATCTCTTGGGGTAGAGCAATGCTGGTTGATGGCGTCCCTCTCTGTTCTCCAGCCATCAGAGTATCAGTGTGAGAAAACGTCTTCTTGGCAGTGCATGAAAGGTGAAGGAGGCATCGCCACGGGGACGAGTGAGGCTGTATCTCCTCACCTCCTCTCAGTATCTGATGCAGTCTGCTTTGTGCAGGTTCAAAAGAGGCTGTGTTGAAATGCAGGCAGCAGGAAGATATATGAGGGTTTGCACAAAGCCGCATAGGGTGACGTCAGGATCGTGAGATGATGTATGGTTTGCAGGCATGCTTGAGGTATTGGTGGGGCAACAGTAGCTTAGTCCGTTAGCTTGGGAACAGAAAGGTCCTTGATACAATTCCTGAAACAACAAAGTACTGCTTAGTTTATTTTGTCACTTGTTAGCAACCACCGTTTGTATGAAACATAGAAGCTTTAGACATTCACTAGTGGGGTATTTACTGGCATATTTCATGTCATAATAAAAGACACGAAAATGCAGTATATGCTTGTGTTAAACACAGAATTTATTTCAGGCTTCTAACAAAAACGTTCAAAAGACATGCAACCGGAAAGTACTAAAATGCATAGTCTTTTCCAGGTTTTAGTACTCATTACTCAATGTTGTCAAGATATTCATGATCCCCAGAGGATGTGTGCAACTGACGTTTCCTGTATGATCTCCAACAGGTCAACTTTTGTACTTATCCTGAGCAGTATCCCAATTATTCATCCATTATATACATATATTTTGATATTTATCTATGAATATATTTGTGGTTTTAACACACAATTTCATTTTCAAACGATTTCCCCCTATGGTCTTTTGGCGCACAATGAAATATTTTTTAGAGATTCAACTTTACATTTTGTAGCCCCTTTCAGGATAATGTTGGTGATACCTAACGTTACCCTTCATGCTTTCTTCATATAATAATACAATCTTGGACTCATCTCAGTTTAAAGGTAGGGTAGGTAATTCACTTCAGAAACACTTGTTGTTATATTCCATGGAATGCTCTTAACATCCCGATAGCAATGAATACATTAAATGCTTTGACAATAAATACATAAAAAAATGTCATCTGTGGAAGCCGTGGCGCTGTAAAAAGCACGACCAATCATCTGAGCCGGCCTGGCTAAAATAACTGGATGGCCTACCTGCCTGTCAGCCTTCCATCTGTGCACAAACTTATCTCGTGCCCTCATTGGTCATGTGCGCGTTCGTGTGTGTTGGAGGAGGGGCTCTATAAGGAAGTCTGAAGGAAGGGGCAGATTTTTTTCAGCTGTGTACTACTTTCAAATTCTAGCGCACTCGAGCTGGTTTCTCCATTCTTCTTACCTACCCTACCTTTAAGGTCCAATCACTGGTTTGTACTGAAGTGTTTGA